AGCCAACTGAGTAACTTCGCTCCGAGTATTTCATAGTGTGAGTAGGGACGGGTTGTCAGCAGTTATCTGTGTGGTCAGCAAACATGACAGCGTCAAGTGATGATGAAATGCCGAACGCAAGAGCCAAAAACAGTGTTTATTTGTAAAATCCTAAGAGTTCCAAAATTCCACTATGTTTTAAAAAATTTTCAAAGCGTGAAAACGCACGCCGGAACAAATTAACTAGTTTGACGCTCACACTCTGGATTTACAGGCTAAACGTCTTAGCTCACTCTAGCTCCCGACCTACACTACTCTTGCTTTTATTTCCCATCATCTGCCTCTCCTGGATTGACCTGGAGGCTGCAACCTAATTGACTGTAAGGCACCAAATTTCGTTTCAAATCACACTTAATTCTCTTTTTGGTTGCATACAAGATTTCGGTAGATTGTGCATCACTCATGTTGCTTCAGGAGGCACCAGATGTTATGCCAGTCCGGACCGCGCCAGCACATGCACGCGACGACGAAGAAAAAACAGCGCTGCCAATGGGAGAACCAGGAGCTGCTAGCGGTTCATCCGTTACTAACCATACAGGACCCGCACCTAACTTGGGCGCTGGTGCTCCTGTTGCTCCCGCTCCAGAAGCACCGGAAGCAGCCGAAGGAAACGGCAAATCAGAAGGCAGTGGCACCGAGTACGTTATCGTTTCAAACTAACATCCGCAGATTTTGCATTATTTCCCGATGTCCCCCTATATTCTAAAACTCTACGAAAGTGTTCTTTTGCCTTGCTACTGCGCACAATGGAAAAGGATTTTAATGTCGTGGTTCCAAGAGCCTAGAAATTTCTGCTCTCTACAAAATAACCAAAGTTCGATTTCGGCTCTGGTAATCACTGACTGTATGACTTTACCAGTCCAGGAAAAACCGATTGTATACGTCAGGCTGAAGCACTGCTACCTCCTTTGTATAGTGAGTGCATTTCGACCGAATGTTGCAGAAGACGCCCTGGCGAGAAAAAGAAGAAGAAAAAGTCAAAGAAGAAAAAGAACAGCAAGAAGAAGAAAGGTACAAAAAAGAGTAAAAAAGGTAATTCCACTCTAACTACTACTTCGAAGTTAAAAAAAAAAAAAA